GTCTGTAGAATTACATTATATTTTTGAGTGCAAATGTTATACACACCTTCTTGATTATCTTTTACTTGGTGCATCTTATTAGATTGAGCTGTTCATTATGCTAGCGTGGTATTAATTTTAAACTCTTTTAACCCAATGCCAGTGGAATTACCCATTTAAATTTGAAGTAAATAGTTTGAAATAGACCCAAGTCAGATTCAACTGTTTATCCGGTTCTTGAGCAAAATAGCACCTACTTCTCATTTGATCTAGTTTGCTCTACCCATTTTGTCAAAACCAAAACACTTTGAGAATGAAAGAGTAACAAGTATGCATTGTTTTCACCCTCACCCTGTTGTGGCTAGATACTTTCCTCTCACGTTGCCCTGGTCAGTATGATATGTTGCACTTAAAGAAATGGATAATTGCATTCCACCTGTAGGAAGGATGAAAGGTAATATTGACAGCCAGTGTTGATCTTTACACTGGAGACATATAGGTGTATTGGATTGGTGATGAGAACTAGAGGTACACCAATACATTGGTCCCCATATCAGATTGGCACCAATATAAGGAAAGCTGGCAGTATCAGCAATTGGCTTTTTTTGGCTGATATGGCTGATAATGTCGCCAATAAATGCCCCATGCATGCATACAGCTGCAGTGCAGCACACAGGTGGCCAGGAGTGCAGCCCAGCAGTGTGGAGAGCAGCCTGGTCTGGCTGGTAAGTCTGTTGGGAGGGAAGGAAGGAAGGAAGGAAGGTGGGGAGGGCAGGGCAGATTGAAGCTCCAGTGAGGGAATGGGGCTGGGGCTGGGCCTGGGGCAGGGGCAGGCACTGCCCAGCTGGGGCAGGTTGCAAGACAGAGCCACAAATGACTCATGGAGGGTGAGGCAGCTTCCACCACTATGCACACCTCGGGAGGGCATGAGAAGGGCATGTGCCCCAGGATCTGCGCACAGAGCGAAGGCAGGCTGTCGCTGTAGGCTGGGGCCGGGGTGGCGCTGGGCTCGTCCCAGCAGAGGCTGGGACTAGGCTGCACTTGGGGTGAGTGGTGGCAAACCTGGGATGGGGGCTATGGCAAATTTTGGAGCAGCTTGCAGCTCTGACCTGCACCCCATCCTGGCTGTGCAGCGCCTGCCCCAGCCCCACTCTCTCCCTTACTATGGGGGCCTCAAGGGGCCTCAGTCTGCCCCCTTTCTCCACAACAAACTTAACAGCCAGATGCTGTTTTCCAAACTACCTGACTGCATATTGGATCGGTATTGGCCGATATGGCTCATTAAAAATCAGCCGCTGGTATTGTCACAAAAAATCTCTATCGGTGCACCCCTAATAACAACTGTTCTTCTCAGTACAAGGATCAAGGAATTGCTGACCAGTGCTGTGGAGTTGTGACTCTTTTTCTCTAACTTTTCTATAGGGCAACTGCCAATGGAATCCCCACTGCAAGCAAGCTGTTTATTTCTTCAGTTCTGTAATTGAATCGGAAGCTGTGGCTGACCCTTCTAGTGCTATTGCATACTCTTTAAGTTTTGACCCAAAGACGGGCAAGATTGCCATGGATTTTAAGCTATTGCCATAAACATTCTGCTTTTACTTATAATATTTTTTCTAAATTATAGTAAATACATTGAAACATGGCTACACAGCATTTTTGTTTGATAAGGTTTTTTACTGTGATTACTGGTTTACACTGTTATCTGCCTCAAATCTCTGTCTTACCCTGCACTCCCAAAGTACATATCTTGATAAGGGAAGAGAACACTTGCTATTTTGCCATATGGAATAATTTTGATGGGCACATATATATGTGTCATTCTTTGCTATAGCGTGAGAACTGGCATACCTGTCGGAGATCAGAGCAGCGGCCGGTCAGCTGCTTACTGACTCCCACCCGGAGCCGTAAAACTGTCGCCTCAACAGGCGGGTAGTGATGGATGGGGTGGAATTAACCAGGCACAGACGCGTGTTGGTTACAGGAATTAGTTTACTTATGTCGCTCAGATAGTGATGCGTGACGCAGGCTGAGCCTTTGTTCCGTTGCAGTTTTTCCAGTTATAGCGATTATAATCAAGCGTATGGTCTCAGGTTACAGCTAACGATACAACGATTACGATCAAGCGTACAGTTTCGGGTTACAGCTAACGATGACGGACGTGGTGCATGGAACGAGCTATCGTGTGTGCAGGGCTTTGATACGTCAATATTGCGCTGACGGGAAGCTATTGACAGCTGATCAGACTGTCAATTTACTCTGATCATGATCTTAGGTTTCTCCTTAGAGATTCCCACAGAGGTCTCCGACTTAGGCAGAAGTTGTTAAACTATTTATAGACAGAGGTGTCTCTCAGAGATATCCAATGATGAACTGCTAAATGGAATCTTTAATTATTTGGCAAGCAGCAGTTCTTTGTGCTCTCAGGTTGCTATCAGGTTACAAGGTAGTGGGTCAGGTTTCCTGTCCAATACGTGAGAGGGGTCTGAGCTTGCTTCTTGACCAATTGCAGGGATTTATGACAGGGCTATCCCCTTTTACTCTGACCAATCATAAATCACGCCTAAGTTTCGTTTCTTGCTAGTGACGTGGGCATAAATTTAAGTTTCTTGCTTGGATTTTTTTTTTCCAGGAACTTCTGGACAGAGATTTCTTTAACCCTTAATTGACTGCTGTGTGCATCTCTTGCTAGTGACGTGGGCACTGATTAATTTGGTTGTGACAATACCTAGTTAGAGACTGAAGTAAATGATTGAAATATTGAATGTGAGTGTGCCATTCTAAGAAATGAAGGCTACTGACAGATGTGAAACCAACCCCCACCCCACCCAGCTCTTTACCGGAAGAGGGAGCGCTTAGTTCGAGCCGACTCCCCAGTGTCTGTATAGATCAGGCACCTCAGTAGGGCTTTTTGGCATTTTTATCTAACAGCTGCTTCAATCACTTTGACAAACAGTGGCCAGAAAAGTAGCTGGAAAGTTAGAAAATGTAGATAATTCAGACTAATTGTAAATAACAAATTGGTGGTAATAGGTTTTAAAAATTGATGAAGCATGAAAACTTGGAGAACAAATAGGAGAATTACATACTTAATGATCTCTGAAGGCTGAATATCAGGATCCCATTTCTTTTATACTTACACTGGAGATTTTATAGTAAGAAAGGTTATACATTGTTCTAGAGGAGCACACTTCCAGAACCAAGGCTGTTAGAAATGAACTGCAGCTCACTGGGAGAAACAGCAGAGAATGGCCTTATCAGGGTGCAGTGAAATCTGTGTTTCAGCACTCAGCACATGGTACATTTGTGCGCTGCTACTTGTCTCCAGGGAATGCTGTTGCATATGTGCTCTGGCATGCAGCAAATTCCCCTGGGTGAGGTAGGGGAGACTAGGGCCAGTATCTAGGCTAGAGTCCTGGGGGCCTCCTGGGGTTGCAGTAGCAGTGATTAGGAGCCTGGCTGGCAGCTGGATTGGAGTTCTGGCCAGCCAGGTTCTGGTTTTCGGCGCATGTTGCAGCCAAATGTGGTGTGCTGCTTTTTTTTGCTGCAATTTTTTTTTTAATACTGAAATCCCCCATTGTCCAAAAAATGATCCACTGCTAATTAGTAGCATGGCAAACATATGCATGTGGTGTGTGTGCAGTTTGTGGCGCCGCAAACTACACATGCATGCTTGTGGGGATATGGCCTTTGAGTCCATGTTAAATATGACCTGAGTTTCCCAAGTGGAGAACACCAGAGCTCCTACTAAAGTTAATCAGCAATTTACCTGCTGTTTCAGGCCTTAGTAGTTACTCAGATACCTTTATGCTCTAAACTTTCAAGTCTCAAATTTGCACACAGTTTTGTAATTATTCACTATATTAGTAAGATGCAAGTGGGTGTGGACAATGAGACTACTGCAGGAATAAAAGTGCAGAGGAAAACAGTGACAAAGTGAGTGACAGACACATTTTGGAATCAATCAACAATATAAGTGGGGAGCTGATTTATTCTAGTCAGTCCAAGAAGAAGTGTGCTACTTGCAGTTAGGGGCAAAACAACTAAATGCTAATATTTCTTATACAAAAGGAAACCTTGTTTGAAAAATAAATACATAAGACTGTGTCAAAGCAGAAATTATTCTGCACTACATAAAGAGTAAGGCTGTTCATCTGCTATTATTTAGAGCAGCTTTTTATTTCTAGAACTGACAAAATGTAGCAAGAGGCTCCCAGGGAAAGATGCAAGGCTACATGCTTGCCACCGCACTGCTGCTGCCACACCCTGCGCCCCTTGCCCACAAAACCTTGCAGGTGGCCGTGGGATGGTAACGCAGAGTGCAGTGGCAGAGTTGCAGTGGCGGCCTCTGTGTGCACGGCCCTTGGTGTAATAGCAGAACCGTGCTGATTGATAACTGAGGATCAGGATCATGGTTTCAAAGACTCAGGAAGTAGCTGACTTTTTTTTTTTTAATTTTGCAACGGCAATTGAATGGAAGCTGACAATGTTCTAAAGAGAATAGGGCAGCCACAGGCAGAAGTAGAAAGTATTAGAATCCACAGGTTTTTAAAAGATGTAAAATAAGAATAAGAACTTGAGGTGGAAATTTTACAGTAGTTGGTAGCAATACAAATGACTTGACAGTAAAAGTAAGTTAGTCTTCTCAGGGAAGAGTACCAATAAAATAGATCATACAAGACAGTGGCTGAGTTTTTTTTGCTAAAGACCCTGATGAATTGGTTAACTCTTGAGGGAGTATTGTAGAGGAAATCAATACTGGTATTGGAGGTTGGACTTGGTTATTACAGTTTTATATTGTGCTAGGTACTCCAAACCTGATGACCAGGGATCCTGGTTTTCTCTGATTAAAAACCCAAAATCTGTGATAAAAATTAAAGATCCCCGCCCCCCTCCCCAGTGCTGCTGGTGCCCCGCACTTCCCCCCCCCCCCCCACAGTCTCAACAGCCCTCCTGATACCCCTCTCAACAGCTCCCCAGACATGCAGACACTGACACCCACCCCAGCAGGTAAGTGTGTGTGGAGGGAAGGGGCGGGGCAGGGCAGGGGAAAGGGAGGGTGGGGAGGGGGATAGATCAAGAAGGGGGGGGAGTGTGCCCCTGTGCCCACTCCCAAGAGCAGGGCTAGGGGGTGAGGGAAGGGGTGCCACTCTGTGGGCCACACATGCTGGCCGGCCTGACAGGAGGTTCTCACGCAGAGGCCGCCACTGCAACTCTGCCACTGCACCCTGCACTACCATCCCATGGCCACCTGCACGGCTTTGTGGGCAAGGGGCGCAGGTTGTGGCAGCAGCAATGCGGTGTCAACCACCATGTGCGGGCCACATATGTGCCGCCTGGCCAAGAGGTGAAATGGGGTGGCTTGCATGCAGTGGCATGCCCTGCAACTGGCTGTATGACTCCACAGCGGTGCGGGCTAGTGGTGGCTGCATGCAGGTTTGTGGGGGGCTTTGCGAGCAAGCGCTGCCACTGTGGAGCCATGCCCTTCATCCCTTGATGCTAGGGCTTGGGGGCTGTGGGGCAGGGCTGAGGAATATGGTTGGAGGCTGAGGGAATAGGGGGTGCTGCCGGTCCCAGGCGTCACACCGCAGCTGGGAGCAGGGCCAGGGGGTGAGGGCAGGGGTGCCCCTCTGTGGGGGGGCTTTACGGGCAAACGATGTGGGGCGCAGTGTGGTAGTGCCTAACATGTGCGGGTTGCACACATGCTGCCTGGTCGCCTGCCCAGGGGAAGGAGAGAGGGAAGCTGGCATGTGGCTGAAGCACAGCTCCGGCCAGCTCTGCAGCCACGGTGAGGAATGGGGGCATAGCGGGGAAGGAGTGGCTTGGGCTTGCACGTGGCGCTGCTGCTTACCTGGAGGCCTGTGATGGTGGTGACGGCCGCTGCCTACAAAACCTCCTGCTGCTGCCATGGAGCCATGCCCGGAGCTGTGCAGCCAGCTGCCAGGCAGCAGCAGTAGTGTGATGGTGGCCAGGTGGCACGCAGCC